ATATATATATATATATATATATATATATATATATATATATATAGAAACTGAAAATGAACTCAGAATTTCTCCATAACCTATAGTTTTCTTTTATAGTTTTAATAAAAATTACTAACTTCTATGTTTAAAATCCAGAGATAAAAGATAAACCATGTCTATATATATAAGGAAAATAAATTTTTTTGAAATCTAGAAATCACCTCACTAGAAAACCCTGGATGATAGAACAAATATGTCTACATTTTTTTATTCAATATAAAACATACTATATAGGTCGCATCATTTGATTCATGTGACAAGAAAAGGTTCCTTTTCATAGGCCAACGTAACTGCATCGAATCTAACTCATCGATTTGTAACGTGACATAGTACGGAATGAAATCGCAATAAGGGATATCTGCCGTTTTAACACGGCCAAGTTCCTCGGAAGCATTCCGCGTGCACGAGATGAAATATGAATTACGGCACGTAGTGGGCCATTAGTTGCTCGAGAGAAGAAAGAAGGCGGAATGCCGAAGGATGGTAATGAGGTAGAATAAAGAGCGAACTAATTCGAAATTTCGTGCGCGTCACTGACGGCGATCGAGCGGCACGCTTAGTGCGAGAGAGGGAACGGCGGAACGAAATGGAAATGCCGGTGCCGGGCCTGTTCAACATTCTAAATATTTTAAAAGTTCAACTCATTTGAATTGGGAACATCTTTAGACGTGTCTCTCCGTCGCCCGCGCCTTCCCGGCTGCCACCCTCGACTGCTGGATCGTCGCAGAGTACTCTGTATTTATCGCGTTTCCTACGGCGCTCTCTCGCCAGTCTTGGCTTTCCTCTTGCCGGTCGATTGATTTAGATTCTCGAAACTTCTCACACTTGAGTTTCGTCGGGAGGACGTCCTCCGTGACCGCAAGGAAAGCTCTCGGCTCTTTTAAGTTGCGTTCGTATGAAAATCATCGCCGGGCGCGACACGCTCGTCCTTTCGCACTTATATCGCAGTGTCAATATTCCGTCGTTAAGAATATAACAATTCAAGATGAAATAGTAGGATGTATGATCAACAAAGAAGGCAAAAATTTCACTTCATTTTCTTGCTGTGAGGTTCTTGACCTCACAACAAGAATGATAATGACAATTTGTTTTGCATACAATTAAGACTCACGTCGAATCGATTCCAAACTCTTTAATCTGAGTCTCTTACCGTTCTCAAAAAAATGGCCCAAAAGAGACCCAATTTCACAGATTGCACTATATAAACAAAGATCAGCTAGCAGAATGACTAATTCAATTGTGCATGACATGCTTTGCATATTTATCGTTTGCCGTGTTGCAGAACACTGATATAGAATTTATCAATAAAATATTAACTTACAAATATTAATGATTGGCGATAATTGAGCGCCAGATAGCACATGGCAGGTCGGAATCGCGAAAGCCATTAATACAGAATAGTAAGAGGCTCAAATTAGAGAGTTACATATTTGGAATCGACTCGATGTGAGCTTCAATTATATGCAAAAGAAGATTATCATTATCGAGAGCCTCAAAATCAGACGAAACGTCTATGGGCACTTGGTCGCACTCTTTCTCATTTGGAAATTAAGATTTTATTATCTCTGCTTGACCACACAACCACCGACAGGTCATTAGGCCGAAGCGAACGCGATAGTGGTGCAATTGATAATTCAGCGCGGTATACCGAGGCGCGCAGCTGACCAAGATCCACCAGGTGCGTCAACCACACACGATGAGCGTTGACGGTTTTATAACGGAGTCTGTATCAGCCGCGTTGTCATCGAATCTTCGCGGAGCTCGAAACGATTCGCGCCATATGCTTAGTTCCGATCCACAATAGGTGTAGTAAGCTTTAAGTCTTAAGAAATTGACCAATCACAGTCAAATTTGAGGAGAATAATCGACTGTGATTGCTCCATTTCTTAAGGCTTAAAGCTTACTACAGCCTATTGTGGTTCGGGACTTAGACCCGATCTATAATAGATGGAGTAAGGAGTAGGAGTAAGAAATAAGCAGTAAGTAAGTGGACCAATTACAATCAATTATTCTTGAATCGTGAGAATGGAATTGGCCAATTTGCTTACTGCTTATTTCTTATTCCTATTCCTACTCCTTACTCCATCTATTGTAGATCGGGCCTTATAGAATGATTGCGCACTCTTATATATATATATATATATATATATATATATATATATATGTGTATATATATATATATATATATATATATATATATATATATATATATATATACGTACAGATTCCTATATAATACACTAGATTACGAATTCTTGTAAGATATGTTAAGTTTTTATGTACAAAATTTGTATATAGATTAGAGTGCATGCCAAATAAGCTGACACGGAATGAGACTTTCTGCTAATATTGTACAGAAGACAGGTACCAAATACTCAAAAGCATATTTTTTAAAATCTAAGTTTTTCTATAATTGCTATAATTGTTATAAGTGCTAATTTTTATAAGTGCATTACGTGAACATTTATCTCGCATTGAGTCATATTTCAACTATATTGACATTTTTGAAGTATAAGTGTCAATGCTAATCTCACATATTCGTATACACGCACACTCTCACGAATCAGGTCAGCCGATCCTTAAGTCGTGTGAGTCTTTTGGCGCATGCGCAATACAGCACTTTTAGTATCTACTTTTTGGGGACACAAATATATGACCAGTATATAAGAAGCTTGCACTCTAATATGTTATATAAAAGTCTGCGCTTTTACAGAACGGTTGATAACAAGATTGAAGGACAGAGATATGCGCTAAGTCAAATGCTTTCTCTGTCACACAATGCTGTGGGAGGAGGTGATGTAGGAGAAACAGAAGAGTGAGTGAAAACATAGTGAAAGAAAAAGAAGACGCATTGACCATGTGACCGCTTTTTCCCACTTTTACTTCTCTCCAGCGCTTCGTTCTTCCCATCAACTAGACTATTAGACAAGGAAAGCATCTTATTCTTTATTGCCCTCTGTTGCTAATGCTGACTTCATTCTTTCCACAGCAATACAGAGTCTGTTTTACGTGCCTATGATTCGCGTGGAACTCAGCCAACGAATAAACCGATAAGACGCACGGATGTTCCGACCTACAGAGGTAAAAGTCCGGCTCACTTGCTCGCGCCTCCGCGAAAATTACGTCGAGTTATTACGTCGAGGATACGACACATTTAGGTCTCGCGCGCGCGCGCAAAGGGTGGGCGAGAGGGAGGGAGACGCGACGCATTCGCGTATGCGGATTTGCGAAATTCGCGGGAGGCGCACTAACTCACCTGGTCACGGTTGGCGTGGAAGCGACCCCCGGGGATCGTGCTGGATAACTCCGTGGACTTCCTGACATCAAGTACTCTGCAACACACAGCGAAACGTTTGTCCTTAATGCTCTGTTGCATAAAGTCACACTCAGCGATCGGGCAACACATCTGTCTTCCTTGCACACCGCTTAACGGCAATATAAACGCGAAGTGCCCGCTTTTGCGAGCTGAAGTTACAGCGGGCGGCCGCGACGACGACGTACGATCGCGGCTGTCGTCTGATTTCACATGGAATCCCGCACTGTGGTCGCGACATTTCGCAAAAATCGAATATAAGGAGTCCCAATCGCGACTTTAACGGTTTTACACGGAGAAAGTGTTTGGTGAAATTAATCCGACAATGAGCGAACCAAACGCGTTTGAGGAAAAACAGAATTTTGGTTCTCCAAACAAGATTTGGCTCATAAGAACCGAATTTGGTTCATAAAAACCAAAGAAATTCTCTTCTCTTTAACTAAAATTAATACACAAGTTGAGTTAATCTGGCAATGAACGAACAATTTCGTATTTTAAACAGAATTTTGGTTCTCCAAACAAGATTTGGCTCATAAGAACCGAATTTGGTTCATAAAAACCAAAGAAATTCTCTTCTCTTTAACTAAAATTAATACACAAGTTGAGTTAATCTGGCAATGAACGAACAATTTCGTATTTTAAACAGAATTTTGGTTCTCCAAACAAGATTTGGCTCATAAGAACCGAATTTGGTTCATAAAAACCAAAGAAATTCTCTTCTCTTTAACTAAAATTAATACACAAGTTGAGTTAATCTGGCAATGAACGAACAATTTCGTATTTTAAACAGAATTTTGGTTCTCCAAACAAGATTTGGCTCATAAGAACCGAATTTGGTTCATAAAAACCAAAGAAATTCTCTTCTCTTTAACTAAAATTAATACACAAGTTGAGTTAATCTGGCAATGAACGAACAATTTCGTATTTTAAACAGAATTTTGGTTCTCCAAACAAGATTTGGCTCATAAGAACCGAATTTGGTTCATAAAAACCAAAGAAATTCTCTTCTCTTTAACTAAAATTAATACACAAGTTGAGTTAATCTGGCAATGAACGAACAATTTCGTATTTTAAACAGAATTTTGGTTCTCCAAACAAGATTTGGCTCATAAGAACCGAATTTGGTTCATAAAAACCAAAGAAATTCTCTTCTCTTTAAATAAAATTAATACACAAGTTGAGTTAATCTGGAAATGAACGAACAATTTCGTATTTTGGTTGAAGAAAACAGAATTTGGCTCATAAGACTCAGAAATTTTATTTCCTTCAAACAAAACAAATTCACAGGTTGAGTTAATCCAATAATGAATGAACTAAACATGTTTTGTTTGAAACTGAATTTCATAAGAACTAGAAATTTTACTTCTTTTAATCAAAACGCATTTGATTCGTTCATTGTCAGGTTAATTCAATCGAATATTTTTCTCCGTGCAGCTATTCGTTGCTTGCAATTCGTCAGTTTACACAAAACGGATAATCGATAGTGAAATTTGATTCACTCGATTAAGAGGTTACATACACCCGAATCGAAAAAAACACTCAATATTTTAATTTTTCTGCTGACCATGTTATCGACTTTATGAAGATAGCTTTTTGACGGGTGATTTTTCATGTTTTTATTTACATATTACATAAAGCTCATTGCGAAAAGGTGAAATACAACGTTGTTATTACTGCTTTCGTAAAGCTAGTCGTCGCCAGTCGATATTTTCGGTGCAAAAATTTGCTACATTATTTATCTGAAACAAACAACCGTCATACAACAATATGACGTCTTAAACACGTCTAAAAGACGACTTAAAAATTTTCAGACGTCTTAGAAAGTTAAAAAGTTATAAAGACATCAGAGAGATGTCTTTATAACGTCTTTAAGATATCTTAAAGATATTACTTTAAGACGTCAGAAAGATATCTTGTTTAAGGATATTTTAAGATCTTTATTTATATATGCTATTTATATTTTAAGACCTTTATTTATATATGCTACTACAGATTTCTATAATTTTATACACATTAAAAAGAGAAGGATGTTTCATTTATTTTATTCAATCGAGAATTATGATTAGAGTGTAAATTTACTCATTCGTCCTATTCAGGGTTGGGTCCTACTCAGGGTAGGTATTAATGACAGCTAGCGAATAATGATAATATTCAGTAGATTGTATACCTTAAAATTTAAAACATATATTGCCGAATAGCAATATTTGGTAGTACAGGATTTAAAATTTAAAGCATACAACACCATCAACATTGGCTAGTTGTCATCGATACCTAATTCTGAACAAATCCGCAGTCTAACTATTATTGTTAAGAATTATCTGTATGGAAGAAAGAAAATTTTCACTCGACGTTACAATTTGAACTGACACAATTATAAAAATTTATGATTTAATAATTTTTTCAAAGTTTTGACTTCGTGCACGATGTACACGACACTCGCAAAAACTAAGTGGTTATGATATTTGCCATAGCAACAGCCTGTATAAATTTTATAGAAAGTATTTGTAGGCAGTTATACATAGTCTTAAAAATGTCATTCAATAGACATTAAAAAGACTTCTGAAATATGACGTCTAAAAGATGTTTTAGAAGAGACGTCTAAAAGATATCAGAAGTAAGACGTCTTTAAGACGTCTCGAATAATACGTCTGAAATGACACATCTATAAGACGCATCTATTTTCAGGTAATATCTTAAAGATGTCTTCTTTAAGACGTCTTTTAGATATAAGAAAGTTTAAACTAATAAGATATAAGAAAGTTTAAACCTGTTAAAGTGAAACTAGTAAACGAAACTAGTTTTTGTCGTATCTGATTTTCAAAATATTGATTTTTAATGAAGTTATTAACATTCAAAGTCGATGGATTGATTTCTCGCTACAAATTTCTTCTTTTTTAATTCTTCTTTTCTTATAAAACAAAAACTATCATAGATATTAATCAGGGCTGTAGGAACTACAATATATCACACATTCAAGCAAATTGACTAAAAATGTTTTTCTCATCGTGAATCATGCGGAGTTCTTTCTATGCATTTGATTCATGGCTGCCGCATATTGCGGCATTTCTGCTGAAACATATGCCGTCGTAACTACTGCTTAATTACTTAGACAGGTAACAGGATCTGCGGCGGACGCAGATATTCCTCTACTCTCGGCAACTTGACCTGTGTCATGCGACGAGATAATTGAGTTTATTAAACGCAAGTTGTTCTCTCATATTCGCGAGTGCTTTAACCCTGTTTCTCGTATAGCGTCGGTGGAATCATTTAAACGGACCAAGCGAACGTGTATTCACGCTATTGCTAACTATCCCGTATTAAAAAAAAAAAGTTATTAGTATCACAAAAAACCAAAATCGTCCGAACATATCGAGGAACATGATAGAACGTGGCGATTAATCGTTATCCTCTGAGATACAATCAACATATTCTTCACTGAAATGCTATACTTATAACTGATAATTCGGTTGTAAGTATAGCATTGCAATCAGTGAAATCTCGTTGAAAGGATTAGTTAATAATAATGACCCACACATATGCAACGTGCATGTTTCAAAGACGTTCAAGAAATACATAGAAAGTAGAGGTTTTTAACTTCTTAAATCACAAGGCAGCGGTATTTATTTGTAATAAGTATTTATATAGATTTCTTTTTTCCTTACTGCTATTTTATTTAAAGAGAATTTTGGAAAATAAAATATAAAATATGTTTAATTTGTATTTGTTATGAATTAAAAAAGGTTTCGCAAAAATTTCAACATTACTCATGAATACAATAGTTTAAGTAGATCAAAAGGAATTTAATATTTTATCACGAAACTTTTCAGGACTTGCTACTTAAGGGGTTAAGACGTCTCTGAGACATGCGTGTTATGCGAGGTCCTAATGTTGAAGCAGTTTGTAAATACAAACAGTGTTATTGCACGCAAGGTGCATAGAAACCGTTAATTTCAGTACCGCAAATGCACAAAGTTTGTTTTAGTACAACGTATGATAAATTTGCGCACTGCAGATTTTGCAGTGAAGTCTTACTTTCACTGATCAAAATCAGTAAGGTATAAGACGGAAATGTAAAGTAGGAATATTTTCATTGAAAATCAGCGGATACTCATTGATTACACACGCCTGCCTGGTTTTGATGTTTCAAATTTGACAATGGTTTCCTACGTGCGCTGAATTTTGTGCGCTGAATCCGAAACTGGCTTTAAAATTTGCTCATCACGTCAGGCTTCCGAGATAAATGAAGTTAAATGTGTCAAAAATGACGATGTGACCGATGTGCTTCCTGTATTTATTTTAGAAAACCAAATGTTTTTTGAATATTTCTGTCGATGTCTTTCTTTTTAAAATTCATTCTTCTTCGTGCACTATTTTGTTCTTGAGATATAAACTTTAAAAATAAATAAAATTACACAAGTGGATAAGTATATACATCATACAAGTACATATATATCATACAAAGACGTACAATATTTAATACCTTTAAATAACTTTAAATTTAAAACTCAAACACCCAAAAATCCTTCGGATTCAGCGTCACTACGAATAATGCAGTAGTAAAGACGATTTTGCTAAAAGAGAGCAAAATTATTTTTCTCCGTGCAAGAATGATTGTTTAGAAAATTAAGACAAAGCCATACGCCATTTCTACACTGCTGCAGGAACGATAATGAATAGAGAAGAAATGCTTTTTGTGGATAGAATTGATTCAGGTTTCAAAGGATCAAGAAACTACGATGCAAAGCGACCGTGTCAATCACAAGTGGACAGCGCGAACGTATGAACCAGAAAAGCCATCAGCGATCATTGTGACGAATTTGCAGGAAGACGACTGCGTCGACGTAGTAACGGTGCGCGCGCGTGAATAATTAATATCCAAACTTTTTTTCCTGCCCAATGGCGGAGCCTGACGTTGCCATCCGATTTAGCTATCGTTCGCCGTGCGTGGTCTCCGGTCTGTCGGTTTGTAACGTCATGCATATTCTAGTTGATGGGTTGTCGCGCACTGCCTTCCTTTTA